CCAGTGACTAATGGTGTTGAGACCGGGCATGTGTTAACTACATCAGCAAAGCAGGCACCAAAAAATTGCAGTAAAATTTCTTAGAAATTTTTGATATTTGGCATCAAAATTTCTGTAACAAGAAATCCAGCTCACATTTTCTGAGATAGTGAGAAAATGTTATTATCTCACCTAACAAGTCCAGTGCTAGGAAGGCTATAAGGTTGAGCTCAGCCATGTGTTGAAGCACCTAAATTTTTTCTATCTTGCCATTCTGCTACCTCCCCTCACAGTGGTGAGGTGGCTGCCAGCAGCAGATAGACAGGACATTCCCCTACTCATACCCGGTGGGAGAAGGAAAATCTCCTCCACAACAGTACGTCCTTCCCTTAGCTTATATTAGGCAAATTTAAGTTATAGGCATACCTGTGGGCCAGGAGAAAGGCCAGACACTTGGCGGCACGGACTGATTAAGGTGAACCTGCAGACTGGGTGGACAACTCGAACAAAATTTGAGGATCTACTGAGGAAGAAGGGGATGGATGCTTGCCCTTCATCTAAAATGTATCTTCTTTTATGCAAGACCTGAAATATACGGAAGGAGCCTTCATATGTTGCAGAAAGAGGAAAGTAATTTTAATAAAATATCACTTACTATGTGAGTTTTCCCCCTTCCTATTTCAATATTCAAAACTCAAATGCATTTCCTCCTCTGTCATCTGGCACAAGCAAAATATCTATAATTTAATATAGAACTTTCCAATTTTTCTTATACTGTGTATGCCATATAAAGTTAAAATGCAAAGACTACTATATGGGATTAGGTATGCATCACTCTTTTTCCAGTTAAAAAATATACTGAGCATGATGGCAGAGGTTCACCACTGCAGGGGTAAATATAAAACCTTAGTCTTCCGTTCAGGGCTCTAAGCATTTAAGCCATACATACCGCACATCTACAGTTGTACCTGTCAGCCTTAAATGAAGAGGAAACGTACTTTAGGCACAGTTACAGGGTAAGTTGAAAGATCTGAAACAATTCTCTCAGCTAACAGGCTTAGACACATTACAGGGTCTAAAAATCTGCTGTATTAAAAATCAAGCACATTTAACCCAGAGAAAAGGGACTCTACATGTAATCTTTATAAACATGAGGTTATTCCTTTGACAGTGTGCATTAAGTGTGACTTGCCCTGTACCTATGCATGACGGGCAGCTCCTGGACTCCTACTGTGTAAGCTCTGGTCCCCTATGGAGTCAGGATCTGTGGCTGGTCAGTTAAAGTGGGGAATCACAGAATTATAGTAAGTATCCTTAAAACTTTATTTTTGACTTGAAATGTATGCAGGTCCATTCCACCTGCATTCCTCAGCAATCAGGACAGGCCTTTTCTCGGAGGGGGTCCACAGACTGGGGCTGTGCCTAGGACATCCACTGACCTGGCAAATAGGGCTGTCAACTGGTTTCAGAGGCGTGAGGACTCAGACCCTGGCGGAGTAAGCTGCGGGCAGAGCTCTGGATTCTGACAACCCCTCCTCCACCCAAACTCTCACTTGTCTATCATCCACACCTACTTCCGCAGCGTTTTTTTCCTGTCTTTATCAGGGCTTCCCCAAGCACTCAACTTCCTCTTGGAGAAATTACAACTCTCTTCACACTCATATTTGATTGATTTTGGTCATATGAAACAAAATTACATCACTACTAAGTACTATTTGCATAAACAAGTTTGGGAACAAATGACTAGCCTACTTACTAGTGGGCCTTGAACATCAGGCATATTTTTCAGACAACAGAGACTGGTTCAAAGGTCCGAACAAACTGGAAAGCTGAGTTGGTTTAAGAAATGGAATTAAATTCAGCCACTTGGTACTCAAACTCACGTGAAGTTAGTGCTGAAACTCCTTTGGAAGGAATGCTAACAAAGGTCTGCCCAAACCTCTTTGCTAGGTCTCGAGTGGGACCAGCATGCTTCTCTGGGGGAGGGTGTAATGCCTGAGCCTCCATCTGGATGCATTTAGTGTCACTGGGTCCACTGGTGAATGCTCTAAAATTAAAGTGTATCTCCTTTTCAAGGAGGCAAGAAAGGAACTGTTCCCGGTTGACATTCAGTAAGATACTGAAGTCTAAAGTAGCTTAATATGGGTCAAATTACAAGGATAATAAGATTTTCTGAGAGTCATTTGCTGACCAGTAGGGGAAGAACTGCCATTTACTGGTGCCCTCTTGTGATAAAACAGCATGTCTACAGTGGGGATTATAAAGTTTTAAGATTAAAGTATCTGAATGAGGTTTTCATTTACCTTCATTAGTTAGATTGTACACTAAGAAATAGCCACCAAAATTATAAAAGTGGTGGTGCCTGAGGGTGGGCCATGGAATTCCAAGTATTACCTCCTCACCCTCTAAACTGTCAAAAATGAAATAACTACTTTTATAAGTAAAAACAAAAACACCACCACAATTTACCACCACTTATTAATTAGTAATAATAGGCAGAACACTTCAGTTTTGCACAGAATGACATGTAGCCTTAACATGACAAAACCTCTTTGGGTAATTCTTACTGGATTCAGTGGGAAGATCAAACAGTTCTTTTTAAATTTCCTATTGTTTTTGTCTCATGCGGTTTAAGAACTTTAAGAGAAGCAAAGACTAAGCAAGGTAAATCACAGCTGTTTTCCTAACTAGCATTTAGGAAGGCAATTAGTTATGGAATCTATACTTAAAAGGTTTAATAAGTCTTCAAAAAGGCAGGATTGAAAAGGGTTAAGATTATGAACTCTGGAGCCAAAATACCACTTACTAGCTGAGTGACCTTAGACAGCTACTTAACCTCTCTGTGCCTCAATTCCCCCATCTTTAAAATAGTGATAATATTACCTGATTATTAAAAGAATAAATGAGTTAATGTGTAATAAATTTGGTGTGAACTGCTTTAACCAGTGCCTGGCATGTAGTAGGTTCGATGCAAGTTTAATAAATAAATGCAAATTTAAAAAATGTGAATGCGTTCACTAAGTATATATTTTAGGGTTAAGAATAGTTTTTTGGGTTGTTTTCAACATTCATTCAGTATTATCCTTTAAGATTTTTACTAATAATAATTCATACTAAGCCTAGACAAGTTAAACATACGCTTAATGAAATGTATATTTAGGGACAAGTAGTTTAAATTTCTAAGATAGGGTTTACAGGAGGTTGGAAGATGCACACTTTTGAAGATGTCATGCACAGTGCCCATTAACGAACAGCAGGCTCCTCTTCCGCCATCCTCCCTAGAGTGTGAAGAGCCTAGGAGACACTGACAGTGCGCTAGGGGGAAACCCAGGCGCAAACGGCTCTGTGAATGTGCTGATGGCTTGAGAATACGAACACGAATTCTTGGGTGTCCTGCCCTCAAAAGGTGGAGACTAATCCCCTTGAGTGTGAGATGGACTTCGTAACTTGCTTTTAACAAACAGAATGAAGCGGAAGTGATGCCATGCAACTCTGAGACGGGTCTTTCCTTGCTTGTACCTGAAGGAAGCTGCAGGCCAGCTGCCATGTCATGAGGATACTCAGCAGCCCTGTGGGGAGGTTCAGGGGGTGTGGAACCGAGGCCTCGTGCCAAGAGCCCTGTGAGGCAGTCATCCTGAAAGTGGATCCTCCAGCCCCAGTCAAGCCTTCAGATGACTAAAGGTATGGCTGACTGCTTGAGCAAAACCTCATGAAGGACACTGGGCCAGAACCACCAACTGGGCCACTCCTCATGACTTGCAGAAACTGTGTAAAAACTGTGTAAGATAATACATGTTCACTGTTTTAAGCTGCCATGTTTTGGGGTAACTTTATACACAGCATAGATAACAACCACAGGGTGTGTTTATGGATGAAGTAAAGAGAGAACAGTATAAAATACTCAGAAATTTCTAGACCTGATACTATTCAGCAGGTGAAAATGCATCATCTTGACCCAAGAGCTATTGCCAAAGTGCAGTAAGTGGATGATAAAGTGGTTTCTTCCTTTTCCCTGCCCACCTGCTACTTTTGTATCACAAGCATTGACAGGGTTTGTCACCCATTTAGCATAACTGCCTAGAATATCTGTGATGAAGTCTGAGTGCAGTTCCAGTGAGAAAGAAACTATGACTAGAAGGCTGGCAGCCTGGCTATGGAGAAGCCTCAAAGAGTGAAGTTTGTGATAAACTGTCTGGGCTTTGGTTCTTTGTCCAAAAGGGTCAAAATCCATTTCTGAACAGAATCAGTGTATTCAGAACTCACAGACTAAATGGACAGGTTTATGGACAGACTTATACAAACTAAATCCATATGAGACTGATGTATAAATCAGAAAACTTCTCTAAATTTACTATGTGCAGAAAGGAATTCTGGTGCTCTCATCCAGAGTTTCTCTTTTTCCTAAATAGTAGTTTGGAGGATATATCAGTGATCAGAAGGTGGTTCAGTTAAGCTTGCAATTAGAGCCAAAACTGACAAGTCTTGAGGTATGTTCTTCCCAAGACGTATCAAGTCTTGACAAACTGATTCTACCTCAAGTAGAGATCACTTCTGTTCCCTGAATTGTTCACGTCTCTTGGATTCAGCACCTCCCCACCATGGATCGCCCTGTGTATATACTCTCATTATTTTATCCTTCAAACTCTTGCTAAACTGACCATTTGTCTTCACATTTTCTTTTCTCAAATGAGTTAATATCACTTAAAAATCACAGTGTACCTTGGAAACACTGAGGCTCTTCTCACATGTTGTGTTATTAGTATAACTCTCTGGGGGTATCTTATTCCCAAGTTCTTGGGAGGCATCTCACTGCTGTCTTCACACACTACCTGTATAGTTTGGACCAGAGGACGTTTGTTAGTATATCAGAGCTTGTCCAGAGACAATGCTTTAGAACTGCCATAGTATTTCAAAGGAAGTTATGTTAATTTCTGATCTTTTACCTATAAAATGTTCATATCAACAGAATCTTAAGTTGATCACCGGGGGTTAAAAAATGAATAAACAGCAGTTATCAAAAATTAGGGCATTACTGTAATGTATTCCTTTTTCAATCTGTTGTGTGCAGAAGTACAGTTTTCCACTTTTGAGTCAAGAGTATTCTCACCAAAATCAAAGACATTGAAAATCTGAACAAAGACTGATTTGTAGCTGTCAGTTTCAGAAATTCAAAGAGTTTTAACTATTCAAGAGAAACTATTTAGTATTTAATGTCTTAATCAACATCTATTGATTCAGAAGTTGAAAAGTATGTTCCATTAAATGTACATACTTGAATTATTAAACAAACTTGGAACTACAATAAAATCCTCAATAATTGGTAAATCGAACTACAACCAGATGAATAATTAGTGATCAGTAAGATGCCAAAATAATTTTGCAAATTTTTAAGTGCATCAAAATCTCTTTTAGTTTCATTGCCCTCAGAAACCCAGGACTGCTACTCAATGGTCATTTACTTGTCATCTTCAGACACCATTCTTTTTGACTTTGTATTACTTTTGTATTACTTTTTCCCTGATTACTTTTGTTTTACCAAAAAAGGAAAAAAAGGTTTTTCTTGGAAACAAAATGAAGTCTAAGTTAATTCAATAACTACTGAAATTTCCCCTGAAACTTTAAACAGCTACAAATCCACAAAAGGAAAATATGGTAAATACATCAGCTTTAATATATAGCTAGTACACAATAAAAATTAGAAGAGCTATTTTGGGAAAGTGAATTCAAGTATAAAAACTGATTAATGTATGTTCACTAAAAGTCCTGCCATCAGCACTTTTATTTGGATTACTATATTCTTGAATATAAATACATAACAACACGCCCTTTCTTATCATGGGTAGTCTTTTATATAACTAAAATTTGTGGCCAACATTTTATATAACAAAGGAAGACTAAACTATATCTTAAATTATCAGAAAAGGAATAAGGATATAGGGAAAGCCAATATATTTTATATAAATTACAGAGGATAAATACAATGAAAATCCTCTTTAACTCAAGTTCTACAAAAGAAAGTCAACATGTATTATCCTGTGAACTGCTAAAGAGTGCGTCAACACTGTGGCTGTTTTGAAAGACAGTGGCCAAGCACAAAAGGTTATCTTCATGTCATACACTGTTCTTAGTTCTTAACTGGAGTTGAGCTTCCTTTCATGGTCTTCTTTAGGTGGTGGTAGTTTGGCAAAATTTTCATCAGGAAATCCAGCTGTAGTGTCTGGGGCTAAAAAGAGAAGGTAATTGAGATCTGACTAGCAACCAGCAAAGTTAAGAGTACAAGGTAGAAATGATTATCACCAGGTCCTGGGATCACAGGTGCTTTCCAATGACCTATCTTGCTTCCCTTCTTTACAAAAAATTTTACAATGAACATACATTAAGTTTGGTAACAGAAAAAGTCAAAACATTTTACATGTGAAAATACATATGAATCACTTTTCAACCTTGGTTTTGCATGTTTCACCCTGGCCTCTAAAATCCCAGCGGGAGAGACAACATAAGTCAAACAGGCGGCATGCATGGCCTCCCACACCCTCGGCAGCACAGCTCCATCGCTCATCTGGTCTTCACTCTGCATGTTCAGCTTTGTTCAAATTCCCCTCTGTGCAAAACTCACTCAGGGGAACTTGTGAAAAATATGGACTTTTTTAGGCCCTTGCCTTACACACTTTGATTCAAATTGTCTGGGGAATCCTTTTTTAATAAGGAGCCCTACATTATCCTTATGGTCAGTGATGTTGGGAAGACAGTTTGGCACACCGTTACGTAACTGCAGATATTCTTGTGTACTTAATTCCAATCTCCCTTAACTCAACTACAGCTTCATTTCTCCCTGTTTAATCAATTTGCTGTTATGCAGAAAGATAGTGAATACTGGATTTGTTATTTCTTTTTTAGCATATAGAAGTAATACTTCCTTATAATAATAATAGCAATAAAAGCCATACATTACAGAAATAAAAGAACCCACAGAGAAATGAAGTTTTAATTTCTTGTAATATATGACTAAGAATCAGAGGCAAAGTGATAAATGTTTTGAAAAATATTTTGTTTTTGGGGAGGGGAAGGAGGCTGGGTAACTGGAGAAATATACTGAGTGTGCCAAGCAAGCAGAGTCAAACTTCCATCAGAACATCTTTGTCAAAGGAAGCCCCAAATGTCCTTAGGAAAGTCCAAGTACATACTCCTCGTTATTCTTGGTTAGTAGGAGGAGGTCATTTCTCATATGCCAGAAAAATATCCAAACAAACAAGCATTTTCACAAGCTTTGTTTATTCTCAAGCCAACTATGTTTAGTGAACTAATAGATGGAGCCTAGTGGGTCGTAAGGTTAAGTCTGGCAGGGTAATTCCTCACCTTTGAAGACTGATATTTTAGGAGTGAATCAATACAGTTTATAAGGTTTACTGATGTATCTTCAGTGAAAATGCCTACGACCAGGAATAGCCGCTCTAGGTTTTCTTTTCCCGTAATCAGTTTGTCACATATTTGTCATCTTTGTACATATTTTTGTTATTAACTCAGAGACAGAATGATTCTATTGCAAATAAATTCTAGTTTTAGGCATGTTTCTCTGGTTATGCTTTGTTTTATAAAAAGTGAACTTGCTGCCCCATTAAGATAATTATGTGGTATTTTGGAGAAATTAGCAGCCCCGGAAAGAACTCTTTAAAAAGGGAGGCTCTAGTACCTGTGGTCGCTCAGACTGTACTCGACGAAGACAGTCTGTGCCGTAGATGACTGTGTTCTCAGGGACGACTTCATAGGTGTTCAGGTTGCAGCATGCCCCAACGATGCAGCCGCTTGTCAGGATCACATTTCTGCCCACATACGCTGCACGAAAAATACAGGAAGAACATCAGATGTGAAACATCAAATGATCACAACACTATTTTCCTAAGATGATTTAAGCACAAAAATAAAAATTGACTTTAAGAAAAAAAAGAATTATACTAAAGCTGTTTAGAGTTGGTATAGCACTGAGGCAGGCACAGACTAGTATTAGACGGGTTCAAAACGGGCTCTGCTGTAGGCGACTGGACAAGTCACTGTAAATTCCATCAGCAAGTTTATCTATAAAGTGGAGAGACCACCCAACTTCACAGTAAAGAATAAATGAAAGAGTAAATGTAAATGCAGTGCCGAGCACATTTGGCACAGTAGTGTATAATAAATAGAAAATGACAATGATAATAATAATAGTTGGTGATCCAAATTAGAATAAAACCCAAAAGCAGACTAACAAAAAGTCTAATTTTGTTTAAAAAAGAAGCATTTTCTTTCATGCCAATCAGGACCAAGAGAGATAAACCTCCCAGAAGTCTCCTTATTCACATTCTTTCTGGGCCTCAGTGGTACAAGCTCCTGGAGCTGCTTCCCCATAGTGGTGGTGACTTTATATGACCCCCTCCCTAGGTCCACTTATGATAAGCAGCTTAGATTTGTTTCTGACTGGCTAGGATAAAGGAGTCCTGAAATTAAAGAATGAAAACAGCTAAAGAAACTGATTTTTTTTCTTTAATTCTACAACGACATTAATTAAAGTACCACTGAAACTAGTGTTTAGTAGAAATCTTTTTCAAATCTTTTGTCTGAGCTTTATGGTTTTAATTCAATTCATACAACTGAATTTTTAATTTAATATATTAAATACATTACTAGATTAGGTTCCTTAAAAGCAAAGAATGAGTCTCAGCTATTTTAGCCTACCTCCAACCACAACTTCTTTCCAGGCACACCATTTTGCCATTTTGCCATAGTTTGTACTTAGATTTTTTTCTAGGACACCACAAAGAGAAAAGAGGTAATCACTTTTCACAATAAAATTCTGACTATGGCTTACCTTTTGATTCAATAACATTATTATCTCCCATTTTCATGGCTTGGGAATCTGTAAGCTGAAGTTAAGTAAACATAATAAATATGCTCATTTTTTCCTCTACAAATTCACTAACTATGTCCTTATACTGCATTGGAGCAGAGGACAGAGGCATGAGATTGTGGAATGTAAACTGTTTAGGACAGTATGAGAATGAAGTTTTAATCTTTAGATTTCATCTTAAAAAAAAAAGTAAGTGACTTCTTTTTAAAAAATAAGGACCGTATAGCCCAATTTTGTAACAAATTTTCGCAACTGTTTTGATTAAAACTACTTTTCACTCAATCACTTAAAATACCACTGTTAATGGTTTGATATATCTTTATATATACAATTCCCTTTATATAACTGGGAATCAAACAGTGTAAACCTTTGCAGCTAACTTTATTTGGTTCACTTAAATTTGCAAGCATTACTCCATACCATTAAAATCTTTAAACACATAATTTTAAATAGCTGCTTACTGGTCCTAATTGTACATTTTATGCCTGTAGCTTAATTTAAATATTTTGAGTTACACATTCAGGTTTTTTGCTCCAAGTATTTCCTTCCACAAAATCCTGTTTTATTGATACCATGAAAGCATTTTACTATCTTTTCAGAGTACAAGAGCAAGCAAAAGACTTGGTGACACTCTGGAGAAAAAAATGAAATCTTTTCATTTCCACCTATTTCCTTGCAACATGCTTTAATCTAAAATTATATAGGAACCAAGAGGACAGAACTGTGTTTCTTAAATCAAGATAGAAGCCAGAATTACTCAGTTTCTGTGTCAGCTGCCACTCTGCTACTGCTACCTGTCAACAAGTTGTAGCAACAGGAGCAAGACAGTACCTAAAGATATGTGTGTGGGATTTGGGCACATATATTTGGTATACTTGCTAGATAAAATGTGACAATTTCTACAGAGAAGATACCTATACTAAAAGATAGCTGACGATGATTTTTCTTTAATTACTGTAAAGGATACAACAGCCAACTTCAAACACATTATTGGTGCCAATGATCATGGGTTTGGGTTCTGGATCTTCAGTATCAGGGGTGATATTATCAGGGTGACTATAAAAAAAAGAGACAAATCATCAGAAAGTCAACAATGCAATATGCAATTCTTTTGTTTTAGTATTTGGGTTCACTCTCTCAATTTTACCTCCATCAAGCTTAAAATACATAACTAAGTAGTTTCTTAACCCAAGTGCATATTTATACTTTATGCTGAAAAGACTTGATTCTGAGTAGCAAAAGAACTACTGAACTGAACTGTTAAACAAGACATAGGTGTGTACGAAAGGTCAGCCTTTATTTATTTTTTAAACTCAAAGTCCAGAGGGCCTTTCCCAGGACAGGGTGAAAAGAGATACTGGCTCTGACTTTTGGCTTGTTAAACTGCTATCAAAATCATGCTTAATTTGAAAAACTTCCATTCTGAGTGATCAGTCAAGATTGTGGAAAAAAGACAGATATTCACATGAAATAATTATTTTATGCTGTTAGGTAGTTAGGTCAAGTATTTGAACATACTGTGGTCTAAGAGGAAGAAGTCATTTTAAAATGGTGCTTTATCTCTGACAGTTGAGTTACTACAGAATATAGCTGTTTTTAACTGACTAACATTTAAGGTGCCAAAATATATTTTAAAAAGAAACTGCTTAATATAGTAAGAAACCTCTAAATCCTAACTCAGCATTAAGGCAAATCAACCTCTTTTATCAGTTAAATATTTTCCCAAGGTCTTTCTTACAAATTACATACATTGTTGCTATATATTGGGTATAAACTTGAATGTCCTGCTAAAATTTTATCTATCTAGAAAGCTTTACAAATGCTTATGAAAATTTCACAGGTAGTATAGTCTAGTTTACTAAGATCATGACCATGTGCTAACACACAAATTTTTTAATCTTTTAAAGTTAGAAACTGCCTCTCTGACCCCAAGTTTTTCAAGTATCAATCTTGGTGTTACCCCTACAGAGCATATGAAAATATACATCAGAGTCAAGTTCGTGAAACCAGGAATGAGCAGTAATCTCTCAGCCAGAACCAAGAAATCCAACCAGAACTGTCGAGGGTGATCAGCCCAGCACGTGGACACTGGAGGTCCTCGGGGACGCTTGTGCAGGACAGGAGAGGCAGCAATCTGCAACGGAAGATGATCAGACCACATGCCGCAGCTTCTCGCCGGCCAATAGCAAGCTGGGCACTGTGGGCACATCTGTTTACCCAGCTGGTCTTTGGTTTCCTCGTTTACTGAGCACTTGTGCTAAAAAAGATCCTTCATGTTTCTCTAGTTCTCAGGTATTGGGCTTTCCAGACGTCAGTCGTAAAATGTTCCTAGATAGCTGACATTAAGGAAAGCAGTTATCTGCAGCACTTGGTTTGGAGGATCTGTCAGTCTTACTCACGCATTTATGATAAGCGCCTGTTCTTCTATTAGGTTCCCTTCACCAATCACTATGGGCCCAGCTTCTGCAATAATTCGAGCTTTTGGGTGGATCACTGTCCTGGGTCCTGTTAAAAGTATAGTGAAGAGAAATTACTGGTGGAGGCTGCACTTCTAAGAGGAGGGAACTGAGGGGGCAAGGCTTTGGGAGGAACATTTTCTGAAGTGTGTGCCAGGCACCACACTGGGCACTCGACAGATGTTCTCTCCTCAGTCATTGCCATTAGCAGTTAGTGCCAAGGCTCCAGCCGAGGTGAGTGGAGCCAGACAGGCCTGGCTCACCCTCTGTTCTGGAGGCTCTGTCATCTCTGCGGTGAAGTGAGGGTGGTGATAAAGCGGTCTTACGGGGCTGTTGTAAGGATTAGATGAGATGATGTTTGAGTCACAGTATTCCAGCAGACAGGTGGCAATAAAAATTGATTCCCTTCCTTCCCCTCAGGATGGTACCGACAACGCTGTGCATTCCCAATATAGTGAGCCACATCACTGTGCCTTACACTGGTGCGCTACAGGGTTAGTCTTTTTGTTTAGGATTAAGGGGAAATATGAGCGGCATGGGAGTCAGAAAACATGACAACCAACCACAGCTTTGCTACCTCCGTTGCTATGACTACAATAAGCCCACCCACTGGAAGGAGGCAGAGTTGCTGCTGTCTGGTCTAGGGAAGGATTTTAACCAGTGAAAATTTGCAAAAGTTAAAGGGAGGCAGTGAAAGGAGCCAAATATGAGCACCAGAGTCCTAAGGCTCTGACGCAGGGAGACCTGAGGTTCTGCCTCCAGTTGCAAAGCCGCGGGAGCAGGAAGGGGCCCGTGGCATCCGCCTCACAAGCAGAGACACTGGCTCCTCAGTGCTGACTCTCCTCCCAAAGGCCTAGCCCTGTAGTGACAATGAAAACAATGACAAGAAAACAGAACCTTTCGGCCTCTCCAATCACTCCCTGCCCAATGCCAAGGCTCGTTTTAATGATAAACCAGTGGACAGGAAGTCCCCAACTCTGCAAGTCAGAAAGGGCAGGTAGAAGCACCGACAGTTGGTGGGAAGGGATTCAGAAAGAAGACACTGTCCACGAAATTCAGTATTCAATTGTGTAAGTTTTTGATTTATTTAATAATGTGATCTGTTTGTGACAGGCAAGACGCAGCACTGTGGGTTATAAGGAGACAAGAGGGAATCTAGACTGATATTTTAGGAGTGAATCAATACAGTTTATAAGGTTTACTGATGTATCTTCAGTGAAAATGCCTACGACCAGGAATAGCCGCTCTAGGTTTTCTTTTCCCGTAATCAGTTTGTCACATATTTGTCATCTTTGTACATATTTTTGTTATTAACTCAGAGACAGAATGATTCTATTGCAAATAAATTCTAGTTTTAGGCATGTTTCTCTGGTTATGCTTTGTTTTATAAAAAGTGAACTTGCTGCCCCATTAAGATAATTATGTGGTATTTTGGAGAAATTAGCAGCCCCGGAAAGAACTCTTTAAAAAGGGAGGCTCTAGTACCTGTGGTCGCTCAGACTGTACTCGACGAAGACAGTCTGTGCCGTAGATGACTGTGTTCTCAGGGACGACTTCATAGGTGTTCAGGTTGCAGCATGCCCCAACGATGCAGCCGCTTGTCAGGATCACATTTCTGCCCACATACGCTGCACGAAAAATACAGGAAGAACATCAGATGTGAAACATCAAATGATCACAACACTATTTTCCTAAGATGATTTAAGCACAAAAATAAAAATTGACTTTAAGAAAAAAAAGAATTATACTAAAGCTGTTTAGAGTTGGTATAGCACTGAGGCAGGCACAGACTAGTATTAGACGGGTTCAAAACGGGCTCTGCTGTAGGCGACTGGACAAGTCACTGTAAATTCCATCAGCAAGTTTATCTATAAAGTGGAGAGACCACCCAACTTCACAGTAAAGAATAAATGAAAGAGTAAATGTAAATGCAGTGCCGAGCACATTTGGCACAGTAGTGTATAATAAATAGAAAATGACAATGATAATAATAATAGTTGGTGATCCAAATTAGAATAAAACCCAAAAGCAGACTAACAAAAAGTCTAATTTTGTTTAAAAAAGAAGCATTTTCTTTCATGCCAATCAGGACCAAGAGAGATAAACCTCCCAGAAGTCTCCTTATTCACATTCTTTCTGGGCCTCAGTGGTACAAGCTCCTGGAGCTGCTTCCCCATAGTGGTGGTGACTTTATATGACCCCCTCCCTAGGTCCACTTATGATAAGCAGCTTAGATTTGTTTCTGACTGGCTAGGATAAAGGAGTCCTGAAATTAAAGAATGAAAACAGCTAAAGAAACTGATTTTTTTTCTTTAATTCTACAACGACATTAATTAAAGTACCACTGAAACTAGTGTTTAGTAGAAATCTTTTTCAAATCTTTTGTCTGAGCTTTATGGTTTTAATTCAATTCATACAACTGAATTTTTAATTTAATATATTAAATACATTACTAGATTAGGTTCCTTAAAAGCAAAGAATGAGTCTCAGCTATTTTAGCCTACCTCCAACCACAACTTCTTTCCAGGCACACCATTTTGCCATTTTGCCATAGTTTGTACTTAGATTTTTTTCTAGGACACCACAAAGAGAAAAGAGGTAATCACTTTTCACAATAAAATTCTGACTATGGCTTACCTTTTGATTCAATAACATTATTATCTCCCATTTTCATGGCTTGGGAATCTGTAAGCTGAAGTTAAGTAAACATAATAAATATGCTCATTTTTTCCTCTACAAATTCACTAACTATGTCCTTATACTGCATTGGAGCAGAGGACAGAGGCATGAGATTGTGGAATGTAAACTGTTTAGGACAGTATGAGAATGAAGTTTTAATCTTTAGATTTCATCTTAAAAAAAAAAGTAAGTGACTTCTTTTTAAAAAATAAGGACCGTATAGCCCAATTTTGTAACAAATTTTCGCAACTGTTTTGATTAAAACTACTTTTCACTCAATCACTTAAAATACCACTGTTAATGGTTTGATATATCTTTATATATACAATTCCCTTTATATAACTGGGAATCAAACAGTGTAAACCTTTGCAGCTAACTTTATTTGGTTCACTTAAATTTGCAAGCATTACTCCATACCATTAAAATCTTTAAACACATAATTTTAAATAGCTGCTTACTGGTCCTAATTGTACATTTTATGCCTGTAGCTTAATTTAAATATTTTGAGTTACACATTCAGGTTTTTTGCTCCAAGTATTTCCTTCCACAAAATCCTGTTTTATTGATACCATGAAAGCATTTTACTATCTTTTCAGAGTACAAGAGCAAGCAAAAGACTTGGTGACACTCTGGAGAAAAAAATGAAATCTTTTCATTTCCACCTATTTCCTTGCAACATGCTTTAATCTAAAATTATATAGGAACCAAGAGGACAGAACTGTGTTTCTTAAATCAAGATAGAAGCCAGAATTACTCAGTTTCTGTGTCAGCTGCCACTCTGCTACTGCTACCTGTCAACAAGTTGTAGCAACAGGAGCAAGACAGTACCTAAAGATATGTGTGTGGGATTTGGGCACATATATTTGGTATACTTGCTAGATAAAATGTGACAATTTCTACAGAGAAGATACCTATACTAAAAGATAGCTGACGATGATTTTTCTTTAATTACTGTAAAGGATACAACAGCCAACTTCAAACACATTATTGGTGCCAATGATCATGGGTTTGGGTTCTGGATCTTCAGTATCAGGGGTGATATTATCAGGGTGACTATAAAAAAAAGAGACAAATCATCAGAAAGTCAACAATGCAATATGCAATTCTTTTGTTTTAGTATTTGGGTTCACTCTCTCAATTTTACCTCCATCAAGCTTAAAATACATAACTAAGTAGTTTCTTAACCCAAGTGCATATTTATACTTTATGCTGAAAAGACTTGATTCTGAGTAGCAAAAGAACTACTGAACTGAACTGTTAAACAAGACATAGGTGTGTACGAAAGGTCAGCCTTTATTTATTTTTTAAACTCAAAGTCCAGAGGGCCTTTCCCAGGACAGGGTGAAAAGAGATACTGGCTCTGACTTTTGGCTTGTTAAACTGCTATCAAAATCATGCTTAATTTGAAAAACTTCCATTCTGAGTGATCAGTCAAGATTGTGGAAAAAAGACAGATATTCACATGAAATAATTATTTTATGCTGTTAGGTAGTTAGGTCAAGTATTTGAACATACTGTGGTCTAAGAGGAAGAAGTCATTTTAAAATGGTGCTTTATCTCTGACAGTTGAGTTACTACAGAATATAGCTGTTTTTAACTGACTAACATTTAAGGTGCCAAAATATATTTTAAAAAGAAACTGCTTAATATAGTAAGAAACCTCTAAATCCTAACTCAGCATTAAGGCAAATCAACCTCTTTTATCAGTTAAATATTTTCCCAAGGTCTTTCTTACAAATTACATACATTGTTGCTATATATTGGGTATAAACTTGAATGTCCTGCTAAAATTTTATCTATCTAGAAAGCTTTACAAATGCTTATGAAAATTTCACAGGTAGTATAGTCTAGTTTACTAAGATCATGACCATGTGCTAACACACAAATTTTTTAATCTTTTAAAGTTAGAAACTGCCTCTCTGACCCCAAGTTTTTCAAGTATCAATCTTGGTGTTACCCCTACAGAGCATATGAAAATATACATCAGAGTCAAGTTCGTGAAACCAGGAATGAGCAGTAATCTCTCAGCCAGAACCAAGAAATCCAACCAGAACTGTCGAGGGTGATCAGCCCAGCACGTGGACACTGGAGGTCCTCGGGGACGCTTGTGCAGGACAGGAGAGGCAGCAATCTGCAACGGAAGATGATCAGACCACATGCCGCAGCTTCTCGCCGGCCAATAGCAAGCTGGGCACTGTGGGCACATCTGTTTACCCAGCTGGTCTTTGGTTTCCTCGTTTACTGAGCACTTGTGCTAAAAAAGATCCTTCATGTTTCTCTAGTTCTCAGGTATTGGGCTTTCCAGACGTCAGTCGTAAAATGTTCCTAGATAGCTGACATTAAGGAAAGCAGTTATCTGCAGCACTTGGTTTGGAGGATCTGTCAGTCTTACTCACGCATTTATGATAAGCGCCTGTTCTTCTATTAGGTTCCCTTCACCAATCACTATGGGCCCAGCTTCTGCAATAATTCGAGCTTTTGGGTGGATCACTGTCCTGGGTCCTGTTAAAAGTATAGTGAAGAGAAATTACTGGTGGAGGCTGCACTTCTAAGAGGAGGGAACTGAGGGGGCAAGGCTTTGGGAGGAACATTTTCTGAAGTGTGTGCCAGGCACCACACTGGGCACTCGACAGATGTTCTCTCCTCAGTCATTGCCATTAGCAGTTAGTGCCAAGGCTCCAGCCGAGGTGAGTGGAGCCAGACAGGCCTGGCTCACCCTCTGTTCTGGAGGCTCTGTCATCTCTGCGGTGAAGTGAGGGTGGTGATAAAGCGGTCTTACGGGGCTGTTGTAAGGATTAGATGAGATGATGTTTGAGTCACAGTATTCCAGCAGACAGGTGGCAATAAAAATTGATTCCCTTCCTTCCCCTCAGGATGGTACCGACAACGCTGTGCATTCCCAATATAGTGAGCCACATCACTGTGCCTTACACTGGTGCGCTACAGGGTTAGTCTTTTTGTTTAGGATTAAGGGGAAATATGAGCGGCATGGGAGTCAGAAAACATGACAACCAACCACAGCTTTGCTACCTCCGTTGCTATGACTACAATAAGCCCACCCACTGGAAGGAGGCAGAGTTGCTGCTGTCTGGTCTAGGGAAGGATTTTAACCAGTGAAAATTTGCAAAAGTTAAAGGGAGGCAGTGAAAGGAGCCAAATATGAGCACCAGAGTCCTAAGGCTCTGACGCAGGGAGACCTGAGGTTCTGCCTCCAGTTGCAAAGCCGCGGGAGCAGGAAGGGGCCCGTGGCATCCGCCTCACAAGCAGAGACACTGGCTCCTCAGTGCTGACTCTCCTCCCAAAGGCCTAGCCCTGTAGTGACAATGAAAACAATGACAAGAAAACAGAACCTTTCGGCCTCTCCAATCACTCCCTGCCCAATGCCAAGGCTCGTTTTAATGATAAACCAGTGGACAGGAAGTCCCCAACTCTGCAAGTCAGAAAGGGCAGGTAGAAGCACCGACAGTTGGTGGGAAGGGATTCAGAAAGAAGACACTGTCCACGAAATTCAGTATTCAATTGTGTAAGTTTTTGATTTATTTAATAATGTGATCTGTTTGTGACAGGCAAGACGCAGCACTGTGGGTTATAAGGAGACAAGAGGGAATCCATGCTATTGCTTTTGAGCTTTTATATCTTGAAAACTGAGAACGTTTAACACACTCACAAATGTATTAAAATAAATGAGGAGGTATTCCTGGAGCCCAGAGAATTAGAAGGAACCTCAGGACAGCTTTTCTGCCCCCTAACAATCAAGAACTGCGTGGGGGCTGATAAAGAGTGTGGGCCCCAAGGCGAGATGCACAGCCGAGGACGCAGAGCTGCAGAGCTGTAAGAAATAACAGCAGAGCGCCTTGGCTATTTCGGTTGACTCGGGCTCCCCAGATCTTCAGCTGCTGAAGTAAAATTTCTCTGGCAAAATCTCCTGTTCAGGATAAGAGACTTTAACACAGAAGATGGGATCTCTCAGATTCCTCAGAAGCTTCTCAAGTTGACCGTGACTGCCTTTTTTTCTTTGTTAAAAACACACACAATTTATAAAAGGAATACATGCTCATCATAAAAATTCAAACAAAGCAAAAAGTGGAAGATCCTCCCCTCATGCTAATCCCATTCCCTAGAGGTAACTATTCTTAAAAGTTTAGGGTATATTACTCCAGACTTAAGTACTACTGTATACTTGAGCTCTGTAAATATCACTGTATATGTATTTAATTAGAAAGTTAAAACATATATTCAATTTGAAAAGGAAAAAATATGGATTACAAGCACACACTTTTTTTGTAAAACCACAGGACAGTATTTATTATTCTGCAATTTGCTTTTTCACCTAATAAGTCATGGTGATTTTTCCGTGTAAGTACATCTACCTAGCTATTCTTTTTAATAGCTGAATAGTATTTCATATATTAATAATACAGTTTAAACAAGACCTAAATAATGGGCATTTAGATGTCACCAATTTTGGGGGGCGAGATGCTACAACAATGCTAAAATGAACACGGGTTTCCTTTGAAATGCGAAATTTCTTACAGTTCTTCTGGCTTTGGGAACCAATTTAAATCTGTAGTTTGTACAATACCAGATTTACAGTTTAGCTCAAAATGTTGTATGATAAAGGAACACAATCAGTGTATTTTAGGTTCTTTGTAATTAAAGCCAGGCCAGCACCCTACCCCCTGTCTAGGAAGTCTAGACCCTGGATTTCTCACTACAGGCTGTTTCTCATCCATAAAAAGATGAAATCTGTAACAGCCTACCTCACTGGGCTGAAGTGTGGAGTATATAAAATCATGTTTGAAAGGGAGATCCTGGGGTCTGGCTTATAGTTCTTAAAAACGGAAGGGTCATCATTACCTGACACTAACAGCTAACAAATAACTTTCTCACAGTAAACAGAATCACTCCTTCTGGTTTGGGAAGCAATGAAAGGTCTGCTGTACTCCTCTACTCAGGCATCAGGGTATTAACTCCTTTAAACCAGGGAGGAAAATTCTGCACTTTATTCTAAGACAGTAAAAAAAAGACCTAATAAAGGTATTTTCCATACTAGCATTGAAAATCCTAGGAGGAAGTGCTCATGTTGGCTGTGATAGAAAGCAGATCCTTTGCCGTTGTAGATAAGCAGCCAGAGGCACTAGCTATTCTACTGGTCCTTGAGCTGTAGCTTTTGACAATAAGCAGACTTGCAAGAAGCTACCTGAGAATGGACAAAGGTACCAGTGTGGGCCTGTGTTTCTTTAAAAGTTCCTCTAAAGTGTTCTTTGAAAACAATTCATGTTTTCATTTTTCCCATTCAAAAATGATAATACATGTTTATTATCAAAAAACAAACACAAATTTTAAAAAAGTAAATTAATCCCAAGTCCCATGTCTTCTTACACAATACTTAAAAGTAATGCCTGAGCTACTTTAACTAGGTGTTTTATTTTTTTATCATTATTAATAAGTTATTAAATAACTGGAAAACTCATTATAAATATCATGGCCTAGCCCTGGGATATAAAACCGCAGCAGCGTGTGTTTAAGACTCTACCTCCACCTGGTGGCAGCACTGCCAAACTACAAGTTCTAGCGTTTGGGGACTTGAAAGTGTCAGAGATGAAACTATCAACTTTTGAGTTGTGATGTAACAGCAAAAGTCATGAGCGATAATAAACTGAATAGTTCCCCTAAAGCTCCTGATGGACATTTTTTGGGCAGAGACTAGAGAGGTTCAGTATTTGGTACCAATATGATTTTGGCTTGGTGAGCTTCTTAAAGGAATGGTCTGACGAATGAGTGTCCCATACCGGGCAGCTACGTCCCCGAGGGCTTTGTGCTGGCGGTCAGCACCAGAGAGCCAGGCAACCGGAACACTGTCCCAAGACCCGGGCAGCGAAGCTCACCGAAATGTGGGCAACAGGCTACGCTTTTCTGCACGCGAGAAGCACTTTTACCTAGACTAGGTCTGAATTCAAACCAAGTTTAAGGTCTTGAGGTTAAAATGCTTTAAAAATAAATTTTACCATGGAAAGTTTTTTTAAAAAGGTTGTTGTGAACTTTCGTGGAGTTCCTTCTGGCAGGGTAGTTTATGTATTTTTCTTACCAAATGTGCTGAAACCCTATTTGGCATATCTCCTTGTTTGGAGAAATGTGTCTGGAGTTGGAGCTGCCTTACTGGCTGATGAATTGTTTTTCTAAATGGTTGGCTGGGCTTGATGCAACATGGCCAGAAACGCATTCCTTGCATCAAATTTCCATTCCCCTCATTTGGTAAAGTGTGTTTTTCCTGTCGATCTTTGCCACAGAAAGCAATCTTTGTGTACATTTTTATGTGTCAAGAAATAGCTCAAAAGCCACAAGTTCTTGAAAATTAAGACAATTTCTTTGACCTGTAAACTGAAGTACCTGTAAGAACTGGTTTATAGTCCATGAATTTCTCAAGTCAAAGCCACTGTTCAGTCTTACTGAACAAGATTTACACAATAAAAGGGAAACTTCTGATATACATTAAAAGCTCTAATGGAGAGAAAGAAAGAAAAAGTGGGGCAAGGTGCTTCCTTTTCCATTGTGCTCAGTTCTGTGTTCACATTATGATGTCCCAACCAAGTCCTGTCTTAACCCTGGGAGACTGCTTTTCAACCTATAAAAAGACTATCTAAATACCAATCCTGGGAAATTTCTGAAGAACTGTGCTTGCTGCAATGGTTTTCAGCTTTCAAAATAAAATTTACAGGAAATAAATGGGCATGGCCCAAGAATCAAGGTCGTCTCCTTAAAACAGACTTGATACTATGAAACCTTGTTTACCCACATTATAGCAAGAGAGCTCTTATTTTTCCCAAAGTCTGTTCCCCAGCAGCACCTAATGAAAGGGGTTTTAGGCTCCAGCAGAGCCTCTCAAGTCATATGGTTTTCTTGTTAAGGACCATACTTTAAAGCTTTGGACTAGTTTCTTTGATAAATCAAATACCTGATTTTCTAGGAAAACAGATGACTGGGTTTAAAATTCTACTACACTGAAACATAGCAAAGAAAAAATTAACTTTCTTACCGAAATATTTCAGAATGGAATAATTTGGTAAGAGCACAACCAAATAGCAGATGGAAAGTTACATATAACATCCTGAAAAATCTATTAATTAAGCCACACTTAAGTTTACTGCTAGTCCCCCGAAAAAACAGAACTTACTAAGTGCTCAAATCTCCATAGCCATAGCATAGTGGAAAAAGACTTAAATTAATTATTCTGGCAAATTTAGCAAAAACAAAAACAATAAATGTCATAAATTGAAAAACAAGACATGGTGGGAAGAGTGAGTTTTAATCAGATAACTTATCTCCACTCTCAGCTGTAACTTTATAATTACATCTCCCAGGAACTTTTAAATCTGATGTATTATATCAGGAAAGTGAATTAATCACAGCCAAAAGATTAGAGATATTTTATACCAAATGTAACAATGATAGAAATGACTATCTAAATACTAATCCTGGGAAATTTCCATACTTACATATACACAATTAAAGATAAGAACCATGCATAATAAAAGTGACAAGAATTGTAGAAGACAGAACACTGGGCAACTATATCACTTCTGAATCATTTCCTTAATTTTAAAAATTGACATGTTTCTGTAAAGTATTTTGAGCAAATTTTGCTTTTAAAAACTGGGCCCAAAACAAACATAACAAATATTAACTTAGATCTATTCTGTGATAAACTTCAAATCACTAGTTTTGAAAAAATATTAGTTCTTTGCTATAATCCATCACTGAAAACCTGCATTGAACTGTCATTTTACATTTTAGCCATCAGAGACGTGCACTATCAGCTAGTGGTCAAAAACTACATGGATAGTAGATTTAAACACTGTATTTCCTCACATAATTTCAACATTTAGAGAGGGTAGGTGGGTAACAGGGACAAAGAAAGAGGAGGAGCACAAAGTAGTACATGACAGAGCAACAGGCAAGTGAGCCCTGAACCCTCCTGGCCCCCCCATTGCTCAGTCCTACGCACTGGCCAACCTTCCCTTTCATGGCATAAAGCCTTTATTGCTATTCTGGAAAAGCTCCTGCAAGTAACAGGAGTTAGTTCAAATCTGAAATACACACACACACACACACACACACACACACACACACGTATGTGAACCTGTGTGTGCAATTATGCCTGTAGAGGTATCTATACTATTCATATATAGTATTGTATACTTATTGTTTAAAATGGGCATGCAGTAGAAATTAAAGGGAAAGTTTATATAATTAGCTACATTATTTAGGTCTTATTTTTCTTCTAATTATAGAATACACTGTGAACAAATATTAGATGTTATTTCTGGACTCATGATAAAAACCATAAAAATATCAGAAAAAAATAATGCAGAAGAGCACTTTGAAAAATCATATGACCACCATAGTTCTCCTCCTAAAAGGTCTGCAAGCGGTTTGAGAGTTAGTAAAGAGTCAACATTGCACTGAAAAGGAATAGCGTCACCTTCTAAATGCTGAAATCCTGTCCACTTAATAATTAAAGAAATCCAAGCTGGCAAATTCCTAATGATGTTCCCTAACACTGGCATAATCTTCACTGGTTTTATAAGACAGGATACCTAATTTGGCTGGAGGCTTGGACTTAACCAAAATTTCCATTTTTTTTCTACTTAAGAATCTGTTAGTATAAGAGGCAAGGTATATTTTCTTTCTGAAAGTGTACTTAATTCACTGAAGGCTCTACTGGGGTAACATGCAGCTGCTATGTTAATAACTGGGCTTATATTAATAAAGCTATAAGGGCACATCCAAGGGAACTGTATGTAAAAGAACTAGTGGCTAAAATGTGAGTTGGGGGAAACAATAATGTTCATATAAGCATGCTGCCATGTGTTGAACTGTTTATTCAATTTAAATGTTAGGCCTCACCTCTAACAAGGCTACACTGATAAGATTTAACAGTTCAATTAGCTAATGTTTATTATTTTTTATTACTATGTATCAGGTATTGTGCAATGACTTTCACAAATACTCTTATTTAATCCTTCAAAAACCTGTGAGGTAGGTCCTCCTATTTTGCATGTGACAGAAATATAGACTCTATCACACTAAATTTTTTAGAAATATTAAACATTTATGGGAGAAATATACTGTTTTGTCAATGAAATTAGAACATCTGTGAAATAGACAAACATAGAAGATAATACCTAATTAACTGTAAATCACTGAAATGAATTAAATCACATCAATTCTTGAGAAATAAAACTAATAAACTCTCTTCTTACCTATAGTTACATCACCCCTGATTTCACTTTCTACACACACAACGGCTCCAGGAGCAATCTTCACACTGTAGGAAGAAAAAAGGTAACATTCACTATGGGTAAGATTTTAAAATATTATTATAGACACTATCCTGACAACTGCAGTGAGGAAAAGGTTAAAAAACTTGATGGAAAAATGAAAAGTAAATTGTAAGAGGGTAAGGTTTAATATATTATGAGAGTGCTCTTATGAAGTTCTTAGGTGGCACATTATCCAGGGGGCTAAAATCATTCCTGATGCCTTATTAAAATGCACGAGAAGAAAAGCGGCTTTGGATTCTTTTAATGCCAGCATTGTTTCTAAGCAGCAGAAAGACTGGAAACAATCTAGATACCCATTAGCATGGAACTGGTTAACAAATTATGGTACACCAGGGACTAATGCACAGTCATAAAAAAGAATGAAAATCCTTCATGAAAAGATTTGGAATGATCCTCAAGTATTACTGTTAACTAAAAAAATCGAAGCCAAAATATGGATAGTATATATGTCACTGTTTTTGTAAAAAAGGAGGAAAAAGAATTACATTCAAAATACTTAACAACCAGCAAGGTAATAATACAGAAATCACTGCAGCAATTTAAAATTTACAAATATTCCTATTTATCCTGACTATACATATTATAAAGCTGCTTATCAAGTAGTATAAATTATAGTGCAAACTATTCAAAAAATTAATAATATCCACATAATTTATTGATTTTTTTATATTGAGTGATCTTTGGTTTGACAGCCAAATCTAGGTAAATGCTGCCCTAGCTCAGCCATGAGCTGACATAGAGAACTGCATCAAATGACTTTCCTATTCAATTGATAATCATTAGGTAACTTGTTCTCATTAAGCAAAGAATTGTTTTTAGTATTATTGATTTATTCATGGTGTTAAATCTGTTCTCAGCTTCTATGATGTAACAATACCATTCTAGATATTTTGACTTCATAATTCTATTTGGATTTTTCAAAATTCTGATTTCTAGTTGTTCATTGTAAATACATAGAAATACAATAATTTTGTATATTGACTTTGTATCCTGCAATCCTGCTAAACCTACATAGTTCAAGTAGCTTTTTTGTAGATTTTCTGGGATTTTTCCACATATATGATTTTGTTATCTGTGAATAGGGACAATTTTTTCTTCTTTCACAATTTGTATGCATACTTCTTTTTCCTACCTTAGTGCCCTGGCTAGGACTTTCAATGCGATATTTAATAGGAATGATGAGACCAGACATCTATGCTTTCTTCTAGCTCCGTAAGATCAACAAAACCTATCAAATTATCTTCTAAGTCACGAATTTTGCATTTCAAGTAAATTATTAAAACTTGGTATGTGATCATCCAACTGCAGTCTTCATGTTCAGTCAGGGAGAGAGTCCAAGGAAGAAAACACTTGAGCAACCTTCATGCTAAACCCTGGGCTAAGCACTATTCTAGATATTATCTCAGTTAATCTTCCCCACAGCCCTGTGAAGGTTATATTACTATATTACTACTTCCATCCAGCTGTGGAGGAGGATAGGCTCAGAGTCCATACAAGAAATGACAGGACTGCAGTTTCAACCTGAGTAGTTTGATTCCACATCATAGGCTTGTCCACACCCTCAGCTCTTGCTTTCTCATAGCAGGGCCTGTCATGGATGGGTGCCCAGGTTGCACATTCTCCAAGAGCCTTATCTCCATATAAGGGTGTGCATGAGTCAGAGACACCCTGGTGGGATTAAAACAAAATGCTTATATTACCTTGAGTTTGTCTTCCTTTATCAAACCAGAACACCTGGATTACACCATTAGTAGATAGATAGATACATAGATAGATAGATAGATAGATGGATAGATAGATAGATAGACAGACAGATAGGATATTATACATATATATGTAAAAATTTCATGTGTTTACTTTTTCAAAGGAACAATTGGATCTATTGTTTTAAATTTAGATGTTATTTTTTTAAAAGGTCACTAGAGGTTAAAGAAAAAATAATGAACATATTATTTTAAAATGTAACTGATACACTATTTAAAGATAAACTTGTTTCCTGACTTAAAATTATATATTACAAAAAGGAAGTATATGTATCTTCATCCATATATATAAAATTCTGTAGTCAGAATAGCACTATTATAAATGTTTTTGTATTGTGTTAAAGTAAACATTTAAAATATAAAAAAAAAACTTGGTATGTGAAACTGTTGAGAATTTGTTGATCAAAATATTACTGACTTGTTAGCCAGAGACGGGTAAGATTCCTCAAGGGAGGAACAACCTAAGACAAGCACAGTCGCATGGGGGCCATCAGGTGAGAATATGGGGATCAACAGAGGTGAGGCTCAGAACCTCACCCCCCCTGCTTTGAGAGAAATCTTCTGCATCCGTGGATGTCTTGCTGCCCTTGTCTAGCCTGGATTAATACTTAGTCCATAGGCACACACCTGATCATCTACATTTGCCCTCTTACAGCACTAAACTATGTTTTCTACCTTTATCTTGCATCTACCTACCACTTCAGCATTTTATTAAAAATAAAAATAATAATAATAATAGAGGGAGAAATGTGGGATCAACATATAAATCAAGTACAAAAATCAAATGAATATTCATATTTGACCTGACTGTTTATAGGTCATAATGCGTGATCAAAACCGAAAGTTTCTGTGATGAATGCCCTTGTACTGTTCACCATGTAAGAATTTATTCACTATGTAAGAATTCGTTCACCATGTAAGAACTTGTTCGTTATGCTTCAGAAGATTGGAGACTGACGAGAATTAGGCTTGAGATGGATTAATGATTGTACATTGAGCATTGACCCCCCTATACTGAATTTTATTGTTGTTAACAATAAATGAGAGATGCCCTCTCAAAAAAAAAAAATATTACTGACTTGATTATAAACTTTCAAGAACTTTTCCTCTCATTTCAATGAATATGTTTTACAACCAAGCAAAGCTAGAGCGCAATGATTCATATATACCAATATTATTCTTTTTAGTTCTGTAAGTATTCATGTATGAAAATGTTTGCTTATTTTTAACTTGTAGTAGACTGCATAAAAATTTTAACAGTACTTTCTATTTGGTTTTCATGTTTGTTGACACTTCTCTGATTTAAAAAAATTGTAATTGCAAGGTTTTACTTTTCCAAATGTGTTATTATGAAACAGATTCAGGTTTTTAAAGTTTGTCCTCCTTGATGATTGCAAATGTTCATTACACGCAACATGAACTTAAACAGAACAGGCTTGCCATTCTAATAAAGTATTTAAGTTTTTAGCACATTTAACTTCTCTAACAACTTTTGAGCTTCACTTACAACCAATGCAACCAGTATCGGGGTAAGAGTGTGTAACTGCTGAATATCTGCGTTTGCTTGGCTATTTCCAAACTATCTCTGAGGGAACAGCTAAGGAACTACTAATATTTATTGCCTTCAGAGAGACGAGCTGGATAGCAGGGACACAAGGGTAGATGGAAGATATTTTTCATTAGATACCATTTTTTAATCATTTGCATTTTAAATTACACAAATGTATCCCCTATTCAATAAAGAAATGAAAAATAATTGAATAATTGATACAGTTTTCTTAAGACCAGGGGCCAAAGAGATCCTGGACACATTTCTATAATCAGGATGAAACTTTATTCCCCTTTCCTTAAAAAGTCCCTGTCAAGGCATAGAAATTCTCAATCATAATATAAGTTGGCGATGGGGATAGCAGTACAGCATGGAGAATATAGCCAATGATTCTGTAACCTCTTTCTATGTTGACAGATAGTAACCACACTAGTGGGGGTGAGGATTTAATAATATGAGTAACTGTTCAGGCGGAGAAAGACAAATAGCATATGATTTCACTTTTTGTGGAATATAAAAACAAAGCAAAATACAAGGAACAAAACAGCAGTACTCATAGACACTGAGAAGTGACTTGTGGTTACCAAGGAAGAGGTGAGGGGGCAAGATGGGGAGGAGAGGGAAGGGGAATAAAAGGGCACAATAATTCACAATCACAATGTAAGTTGATCACAGAGACTGTTGTACCAGTGTGACATACAGTTGAAACCACCATAAGATTGCATCTTAACGATGCTTTAATAATAATAATATGGGTAACTGTTGAAACCACTGTGTTGTATATTTGAAACCAATGTAAGACTGTCTATCAAAGATACTTCAATAACAAAAAGTCCCCCTCAAATCATGATCCCTACAAGTACATTCCACCTTTAATTTTATTTACTTTAATAATGCTTTCATGTAACTCTTAAGTATCATTTATGAATTTTAGACTCCTTACTTTCCCTTTAAGACCAGTTTCTCTGTTTTTAAATCATTTTTTCCATTGTTTTAGCAACCATCTTCTTTAACCAAGGATAAAAATATTATTCATCAGTGTTACTTCTTATTACTTTCAATCTACAAATAACTTGCTTACCATTACAAATATAACCCTATTATGCCATATCCACAATAGCACCGGTTATAGTATTTCTAGACCATTGTTCATACTGCTCTGTGCATATATCCACAGGATGCTTTATACTGTATCAGCAGAAACACGACACAAGTCAATGAAAGGTTGTGTTATAAAATAAATGTGAATACTTGGAATGTTCAAAATGGTTATAGTTCTGGTCCATTTCTTATCTCCTATTAGTTTGTTCAGGGTGGTGAAGTGTTTTTGTTTTTCCACTTAGGATAACTGTTTGATGAATTGCAGCTGCAATTTACTGAGACAGACACTTGGGCGCTTCTCATGGCACTGTCAGGACCCCACTTTCAAAATACTGTACCACTATGCCTCAGGAATCATAAAAATACTCACAACGTTTGACTTAGGAAATCTATTGCTGGATTTCTATGGTCAAGAATTCATCGGGAGGAAAATATATGCAGAAATTGGTCACTGAAATGTTATTTATAATAGTGAAACCTTGTTACTAACCTTGATAGCCATAAAAGAGGACAGATAATAAAATAAGATACAGTCAATAGCTTACCTGGAATGCTATGTACATGCTAACAATAACAACAAGGTAAAACTACCTTTCTTACAGAAAAGTTTGCTAACCCCTGCTCTACATGGACAACTTATCTTCCTTTCCAAAACTCCACTGAAAGAGTAAAGGAATAAAAGAGGTATTATTCAAAGAGAGCAGAGATCAATGGAAAGGAGGTAACAGTAGATAAAAAATGTCATCAAGCTTCTGGAACACTATACACAGAAGGAAAAGTGACTGAGGCTCAGCTGGCAGGCACTAGGTACCCAGGAGGGGAGCAGATATGAGGCAGCGGAGGTAAAATCCAAGCAGGTGGGCATCTGTCACCCCTTGCCTATTCCAGGGTGCACAGCCAGGTGATGACCAGCCCCTTCCTGAGGTGCTGCGCTCAGGACAGCAGGCCCAGAGAGAGGAGAGGGTGACAGGCACGATGACGGTGGTACCACGAGCTCCCTTCCCCTGTGTGCCTCCCTGGCCCTCATTGAGAATCTAAGGCAGCAAGGGGAGTAGAAGATGATTCTTTTCAGAGAAACTATCAGACATCAGAAACTCTTTAATGGCCGAAATTTAAAATTCACTAGAAGAATTGAAGTTAAAAAAAGAAACCTCTCCCAGAAGTAGTACAAAATGCAAAAAAAAAAAAAAAAGGAAATAGGAAAGAAAAGGCAAGAAAATTAGAGGACCAATATGTGAGGTATAGCATCCAAATAAAATAAATCTCAAAAGAACAGGGAAATATTTGTGGAGAAAACCATCAAAGAATAACACAAGAAAATTTCCCGGGATTGCAGGACATTACCTCAACTCTGAAAGAGTTCAGTGAATGGAGACTCATGCCATGTAACATCATCTTAAAGTTTTTGAACATTATGGAAAAGATCTTTAAAGTTTTCAAAGAAAGTCACATACAAAGAGGAAGAAATAATCAGAATGGCATCAGATTCCTCAACAGAAATATTGGAGGCTAGAAGACCAGAAGACAATCCCTACAGAATTCAGAGCAAAAACTATGTTCACACTAAAGCTACTTGTCCAGCCAAACTAGCAAACTATGGAAGGAAAGCAGACATTTTCAGACTTGCAAGGGTTTAAAAAAAAATTATCTCCTATGCACTCTTTATTAGGAAGCTGTTGAAGGATGTCCTTAGCTAAATAAAAGTAAACAGACAAGAAAGACTCTAGAAACAGAGGCACCAGTGTGCAAGGACAGAGAGAAACATCAGGACAGTGGTTGTGCAACAGTCTTAGACAGCAAAAATGACAGAGGGCTTCAAGGGGAAAATCTCCAAGAAAAACCAAAAAAAGGAAAAGAAAGATTATGTGATGAGCATTTGGAAAAACATAATTAGGCATTTGTCATATCTGCTAAGAACTGAAAAACATCAGTACACAAAAAAGTAAGGAAATGAAAAAATAAACTTAAATTTTTGATGAGTTCAGTTTGAGGTGCCCATGGAAAATTCAGGAGAAAGTCCCAGTAAGCAATTGAAAACTCAGATCTGGAGTTCAGGAGAATTCTAGGCCAGAAATACAGCTTTGAGAGGCAGCAGGGTACCATCTCTTTCCTACTGTCTCCACCATTCATATTCCAGAATCCTCCCAAATACTCCCCAATATTAGTGCAAAGTAACATAAAATATATATACATATACTTTTAATTCACACCAATTTCCCAACTGATAAGGAAGGAAAAATTCAAAAGGAAGACATAGAGAAAATTTTCTCCTACAAGTTTCAGTGAACAAACCTTCCTACCACAAAGTATTTTTAAAGCTCTAGGTAAAAAGAGTACATATCAAACAAAAAACTAATAATCCCTGCATCTATCTTCAAGAAATGTTTGTGAGATTAGACACAGTTACAACTGTTTCCTTCATTTTGACATGCACTGACTTTCTACAAGACACTAATGAAGAAGCCCTAAAACTATCCAACTGTGCTACGATGTGTTGCTTGACTCTGATGAAAACACCAAAAATATAGCCTTTCTATCCCGTCGAAGAAAACTTCAGTAACATGGAACAGAAAACAGAAAATGGTCCAACCCTGCCCTTTTATAAATGAGGAAATCTAAGCTCAGAAACTAGAAATTTCTGGAAGCAAAGTTTATTCCTGGGGCACCATTATCCTAATAACAATCATCTCTTTTCTGTTAGTTGAATGTTTCTTGGAAACATCCTGTCATTTTGGACAGGTTCCCTATGATAGCCTTGAAGGTATCACCATTTGCAAATGCCATTTCTCTGTTTTGCATTTATAGTGGGTTTGTATGTTAAAACATACAATCGTATTAAGCCCTAGTCAAATAAATTAGACTTTATAAATAATGCCTCTTGTTTTAGACCTTATTTCCCCGTTCCAATTTTCTATTCCCTTGCCTGCCCTCTCACTATCAATATGGAAAGAACATTATCTAAAATTTACTTGTCCTGGACCTCTAAGAAGAGTAACAGCGATTCACTAATGCTCCTCTGTCTTCAGTCTTATGCCTAAGGAAGAGGCCCCAGGTAAAGTCTGTGTCAATCAGAATATGTCTCTGTTAAGGCAGGAAATGATTAAATTCACCATTAGACTAACTAAAACGTGGTCCAAACATTTCCGTGGAGACTCAACTGCACCTCGGAGTGGTGGGGCGTCGGAAGCAGCAGGCAGCTGGGAGGGGAAGGCTTGGCCGCCTACCCAACTACTAAAATAACGAGTCAGCGTTAACCTCCCCGCTGCACACACACTACCATATATGCGGTACATGACACTCACGGACTATTCCTCTGTAGCTTATGAAGAAAGACTACAGTTACTGGCCTAAATAGAAGACAAACCTAAATTTTAATGTATGGCACCAGACACAAGGTCAGTCGGTTTTCTTTTCAAAAAGGGCAGAGGGTGCCAACACTGCTGCTTTTGGACACAGTTTAACTTAAGCTCGTCTCTCGTCCAAGCCGTCCCTTTCCACCCTCAGATCCTAGCAGTGAAGGCTGCCGGAGAAGCAGCCACGGTTCCTGTCCTCACGCGGTGACAAAAGGGCCTGTCCACGCCGGGCGGGCCGCAAACTGAGTCCAGGAGCCTCCCCCTTTTTGACAAGCGACACACAGACACCGCCCACCGCCGGGAGGAAGGCGGGCCCCACCTGGGCGCAGGCAGAGGCGGAGGAGGCAGCTCCAGGCTGAGGGCCGAGGCGGCGCGGGTCCCCCCGGGGCGCGGGAGGCGGACGACGCCGGGCCCCACTCGCAGACAAGGCCGGACTCCCGTCCCGCGAAGGAGCGCTGCGGGGAAGGAACGGCGAGGGGCGGTGCGACGGGAAAATCCCTGCCGGCTCCGACACCGCCTCCTTCCCCCGGCCTCCCTACCCGGCCTGCCGCCTCCGCCCTCAGCGGACGCTGGGTCTGGGCGTTAGGCGGCATCTAGGCTGAGGGCCCGGGAGAAGACACTACCTCAGTCCCCACCGCTGGAGACCAGGAACAGGTTCCCCGCGCTGCTGAGAGCAGAGAACAGGCTTTTCTCCAATTGCAGACCCACCTTTTTTGCGTCTTCTCCGCCATGGTTTGGCCCGTCTTGGATTGGAGCCGAGATCGACGCAACAACCTGGGCAGGGCGATGATCTCTGCAAGCGATTGCAGAGCCTGGCGGAGCACGGGGGCGGGAGGGGGCGGGGCCTGGTCTGGGGGCGGGGCCCGAGTGGGCCGGCCTCGCGGCGTCTTCTCTGCCTGCCTGACCCGCTTGGCGCTGATGCGCTCGGTTCTTCCGCTGGATTTAGCGCAATCCAGGGAGCGACAGACTCGGGACTAGAACAGCCGTTCAGTCCAACCCAGCGCACATCGTTATGACCTCATTATACATTAGGTACCCTCTACTTGCCGCTTTCTCAGGTTAATATCTCTATTTCTGTCCGACGAGAGTCATACCTGCTTATTTGATTGCTTAATGACATCTCCACTTGGATGCCTCAAGGTTTTACCAAACCTAAAACTTCCGAAATAGCGCTTTCGATTTAAACCCTTTGCCTCTCCAGCCAGTTCGTTCTTTAACCTCCTTCTCAGTAAAGGAATCCACCATTCATCCACCTGCTCAAGCCAGAAACTCAAGGGTCATCCCAGACACTCCTCGTGTCTCCGTGTACGATTCCCCGTCGGGACTCCGGCACCTTTAATCTCAGTCGCCGCCAGGCCCCTGTGCCCGGCTTCTTCCAGCCCTGCCCACTAAAATCACGCCCCCATCCAAGCCATTTCTGTAGCCAAAATCAGCTTGTAAAAACCAGATCCAGTTATTTTACTTCCCACTCTTTTTAAAATCCAAACTCGTTCCCATAGTTCACCTGTGAGCTAGATCCAGCCCTGCCTACTTCTCTTTAATCCCACATTCCTAGTTCTCTTTCATCACACTTTTAGTTCTCTGAATAGCCAAGCAGACTATCCGCCCCAAACCACTTCCCCTGCAGGGTTTGGGAGAACTGACTCCTTTTTTGAAAGAAGTTCTACTGTAGGCAAAATGCTATCAGGCAGCATCACACACTAGAGAAATCATTTGTGAAAGGACGAGTCAGTCCATATGGCAAACTTCATCGTTGCCACAGCCTCCCCAGCCTTTAGCAACCACCACCCTGATTAGTCAGAAGCCATCAATAGACCTAATAGCAAAAAGATTAAGACGGGCTGAAAGCTCGGATGATGTAGCGATTTTTAGCCATGAAATATTTTTAAACTAAGGTATGTACACTTTTTAGACATGCTATTGCATACTTTATAGACTATAGTATAAACATAACTTTTTATATGCACCAAGAAGCCAAAAAATTCATTTGACTCTATTGCAGCAGTCTGGAACGCAGCAGGCAATGTGTTCGAAGTATGCCTGTACACACATGTATTTTAAGGAATTGGCTCGTGATTACGAGGGCCGGCAAGTCTGAAATTTGTAGAAGTGGAGCACAGGCTGGAAATTCTAGGAAACGATGTTGCAGTCTTAAGTCCAAATTCTGCAGGCTGGACACTCAAACAGTGTTACAATCTTGAGGCAGGATTGCTTCTTATGGAAACCTCAGTCTTTGCCCTTAAGAGTGGATTTGCAAAAAAACCTACAGCTTTGTACTCCATCTTCTACCTACTTCATCTAATCATCACAATTCTGCTGAGACAGGTGTTAGTATATTTAATTTTAGATGAAGGAGCCCAGTCTCAGAGAGATGGTGATTTGCTAAGAGTCCCCAGTTAGTAAGAGGCTTTCTTTAAGGTTATCTGTTCTGTGCAGAGCTGTCTTTCAATAAGAGGCAGTCCTTGCCCTTAAGATGCTTTTGGATCAGGCTATACTCTCCCATCCTTTATTTAAGGCTGCTTGCTCTCACAAGTGCCTTCAGAGAGGAAATAGCTGGTCAGGGACAGCACTGTCACGTGCTAGGCTCAGTAGATGGACTCCACCACCCAGGAGATGGCCTGGTGTTCTTGCCTCTAGCCAGTGTCTCCTGATTTCTTGTCTATGCCCCAGAGAAAAGCTTCTCTTTAAACATTCCTCTTCACACTTCTGCTTCCTTAAAACCTTTTAACTACCAGATATTTACTGAGTACATAGCTTGTGCCCAGCACTGGTCTGTGTTCTGAGAGATACAGCAATAACCATAGTAGAGCCCTTCCCTTGTAGAGCTCACATTTGAGCACAGCAATGGGCAGGAAAGCAGTGGGGAAATGTATCTATAAGGGTGACAGGTACTGTGAAAAGAAGAAATAGCAGGACAGCGGTGGTTGGAAGAGGGAATCTTCTTTCTCTGAGAAGACGGGTCCCTTCTTTACGCTCATGTCCTGCTCTCCCTCCCCAGTCTGGAGATGTATCTGTCTTGCTGGAAAATGAGATTTTTCATTAACTTAGTGAAGAAAGTATGACATTCAGGTGACTGGAAAGGCAAATAATGCAGTATGTAAAGTAAACAAAACCAGAGCTTCTGAAAGCAGCATTTCCCACACACTTAAGTAACATAATACCAAAATGTGTTTGGGTTTCTATAGAGCAGTTCCCTTTATCAGGGAGCCAACTTTCATCCTGATTATCTCCGGTGCTTTTGTTTGGCTTTTGCTCACCCAAGCCCTCCAGAGCCATATAAAAAGACCTAAGAGAGCCTGGCTGAAGTTTCTCTTGCAGGAAGGCCCCAGTTCGGGACTCTGGAAAGGGCGGTATCTTTTGTTCCAGTTCACAATGGATTGGCTTCAGTTCTTCTTCCTCCATCCTGTATCACTTTATCAAGGGGCTGCTTTTCCTTTTGCACTTCTGTTTAATTATCTCTGCATTATGGATTCATTTTCCACCCATGCCAGGTAGGTTTGTTTGATGGCTAACTTGGTCTTACATACATGAATTCTATAGCAGATCAAAAACATGGATTGGACTGCAGATGTGAGGATTAAATGTTCATTACACTGGCTGTTTTAAGTTACTATCAGTACCATTGATTATTAAGTGTGAATCTCATAGAGTGAAACAGAACTGGAAATGGACATGTCTGCATCAACCCAAAGCTTGATGGGTTTCCATCATCTGAGAAAAGGGTAAAAATAAACTCTGGGGAGAGATAGATATTGAGGTGGTATAGGAATTCCCCAAATAGATGCATAGGTACAATCCCCGGATGTCCCAGATGTTCTTAACCAGTCTAATGTCATGGAATTTTATGATTTTAAATAAAACTAAATTCTACTAAATACATAATTAAATGTGATTTTTAAAATGCCATTGTATGATTTATCAGAGAAATAAGTCAAAACAAATTTCACTAGATTAACTATATCTCAATCTGGGACTCCAAAATTGTCTGGAGAGATTTGAGAACTTAATTGAAATGATTTTTTATAGGTAATAAAATCAACACATTAGAGACAGTCTGTATTTTTTAAAAAGGTTTTGTGGGATATCCTTTTGTTAAATAAAAATCCATTGTAAAGGGCTATCTATTGTAATTCACTTATTTGGGGAATTAGGATTTTTATTTAGTGGGGATTCTTAAGTAAAATCTAGCTGTAACAAACAGGATTGTTGAATTTGATTAAACTGTGTTATGTTATTATAGTTCACAGCAGGCCAATGGTCCTTACCTTCATGTAGGAGATGTGGGGTATAGTTGTGAAAAAGTTACCTATTGAGAAAGAATCACAATAGAGCAAAACCACACAAAAATAAGAGGTAATTCTCATGGCATTAAGATTGCTGGCTTTGGAGTTAGCCTGGTGAGTCCTGGGTGCTTCATGTCCTGAGTGTCCTTGATATGTGAATAAATTCTCACCAAGTTTATCTGTGAAATGGGAATAATTTCCTATCTCACGGGGTCATTTTAAGCATTAAAGAAATAAAGATAGCTTTAATAAAGTGATTATTACCAAAATGCCTACAATTAAGTAAGCACTTAATAAATCATGTAGCCTACATTGTACATGTATAGACATTTTATTTATTTATTTTTAATTTTGGTATCATTACTATAAAATCACATGGGCAACACTGTGGTTACTAGATTCCCCCCATTATTAAGTCCCCACCACATACCCCATTACAGCCACTGTCCATCAGTGCAGTAAGATGCTATAGAGTCACTACTTGATGTATAAACATTTTAATGTTTACAAGTCCCCAGGTGGGTCGCCTCTGGGTGGAGGGGTCGCTTTGGGCTTCCTCTTTCACCATGGCGTTCCCCCTCATTTTCACGTGGCAGGGAAGTGAAGGCTTGGACCAGTGCCCACTGGGACAGGCTGGCTCAAAGAGAGGCTCGGGAGTGGCTCCAGGCCTGTGTGAGAGAGCTTCTCACACTGAGGTGCCTACCAGCCTCCCCCAAGAAAGAAATTCTCACCGATATGTGCGTGTCACTGCCATGCAGCCGCGACTTATGCCCGGTGATAGGGAAAACGTAGGCCTCTTTGACTCAAGTCCGTTTCACACCTTTTATGACCTCTTCGTTTAGGTTTACTAATTTGGCACCAATTAAAACAAACCTCCATATACTGTGGAAAGAGCTGTGCACTCATAATGTGAATTCTTCCAGGCCTCTGTAGGTCCTCAGAGCATCTACTAGCTTCCAAGGCTACACAACCTATTTCATGGAGGTGGGGATTTTACAAGTTAAAAACCCACCCACTCATAGGATCTTAAACTGCAGGAGAGAGGATTAGGGCAGACATAAAGGTCTGCTAATTGAGTTGTCAAATGCTTATGGAAGGGAGGCACTGAGTGCCCCTTCAGAACAGCAGGACGACTGTGGAGTGACCACAGTATGACTCCCGCAGCAGCCTCCCTCCATTGGCTTATCTGGGATGACCCTCAAGTGCCTTGTTTGTTGAGTGGCCCCACAGCAGGCTCACGCCAACCTTTTTCTTCCAGATACTCCTTTCTCCTGGCTGGAGGAGGCGCCCTGGCCCTGGCTGCCATGGGTCCCCTGGCCATGCTTGTCTTCACCCCTGCCCTGTGTGCCGTGGTTCTGATGCACAGCCTCAGCCCGCAGGAGGTGCACAGGTGGGCTTTCGTCTTTCAGATGAGCTGGCAGACACTGTGTCACCTCGGTCTGCATTACACTGAATATTACCTGCAAGAACCTCCTTCCACGAGGTAAGGTGGCCCATTGTTTGTCCTGAGCTGACCAGGGGTTTGCTTGCACTGTAGTGGTCGTGCAGAGAACCCAGGTGATGCCTTTGAGTCAGAATTCTTCCACATTTGAGCAGTGAAACCTTGAGCAAGTCATTTGATCTCTCTATTTCTTTTTCTGGAGAAAAGTGTGTGTGCTGGGCATAGGGGGTAACAATACCTATCTTTTAAAATTCTTATGTTAGAGATAACGAACATAAGTGTAATTATATGAGTGCAATTAACTACCATGTGTTGCCTGTGAAGCAGCCTGGCCCTTCGCTGTCATTATCATTGTGCCTAAGAAGGCACTGCCTGGAGGTGACTAAGCAGTTTGATTACTTGGACACACAGCCAGTAGCCTCCCCTCCGCATTAGCAGAACAGGGAAGGTGTATATACACCATAAACCTTTGCTGTCTTCCCATGGGAGCTGCTGTGCACAAGTTTTACTTCCACTGAGACAGCTGTTCCATCCTCCCAGGAGGGTCATCACCTAACCTAGGAAAAAAGAAAAAATCGGGCCCTGATAATAGTCCAGAGAAGTGTTTTCATGAGTCAGTGAGATTGCCAAGGTTAGGGGAGGCAGGTATCTCTGCAATCTGAGGCCTACACCTCCCAGCTCCATTTTCATAATAGGCATGGATCCGTCCATGGTCATGCAGAGAACAGGGACTGTGACCTGCTCAGGTGGGTCACCTCTGATTCTAGCCAGCCATTGGTTCACTCACTTTGCATCCCTACCACACCTAAGATTCTTCTCTTTATTCTATTTTCACCAAAGGCTTCAGGGCTTGCTTTCCTGAAGAACAGTCAAGATGGCAGGTGGGTAGAGAAGAGGAGTACTGACTGGTTCTGTTAAATTAGGATTTTAGTAGGAAGCTGGCACCTGATGGAGGCTAGAGGAACAAGTTCAACAGGATCTGGCTCAGTAGGAGGAAGGCTGAGCCAGAGCCCACGTGGGAACATGTGTTCATTTGCTCTGGCTGTATAATAAAGTACTGCAGGCTGGGTGGCTTACACAACACAAATTCACTTCCTCTGGCAGCTGAATCAAGATCAAGGTGCTGATCTTGGCAAACTAGGCTTCTCGGGAGCCCTCTCTCCTTAGCCCGTGGATGGCTGCCTCCTCCCGTGTGTTCACATGGTCTTCCTCTGGGTGCATCTATGTCCTCACCTCTTCTTTTCATAAGGGCACCACTCATATTTGATTAGGGACCACCCTAATGACCTCATTTTAACTTAATTACCTCTTTAAAGCCTATTTCCAAATACAGCCACATTCCAAGGTACTGGAGTTTAGGACTTCAACATATGAATTGGTCCAGGGGTGGAGGGCACATTCACCCCGTCACAGAAAGTGCATGAGCAGGGTGGCATGTGGAGGCTACTGTGCTGTTAGGGTAAGTCCAGAGAGGTCAGCTGTCCTTAAGCCCTCAGATGTACAGGTAGAAACAGCAGCGGTTGGGAAACTGCTATTTTCCCTCCACAGGTAATTCTCATTAATTTTCTGCACAATAAGCCTGCCAGCAGGATCTTTCTTTACTCTGTGACGTGAAGCCAGACAGTTCAGATGATGGGTTCGGAACACACCTCAAATTGCTGATGGTTCTGTGCACACCCTGAACCTCTAGCTTGACTCATTGCTCCTCAGCCCAAATCCCAAAGCCTCCAGAACCTCTGCAGTCGGGGATTGCTTCATATTTAAACTCTTCAACCTCCTGTTATAATCTCTTCACTACTAAGTTATTGTTTCTTCTATGGCAAATCTCTCCCAGGTCCCTGATCCTAGTCCTTCTTAGCCATTGTTAGAAATATGATAATCAATATTTCCTCACAATAGTCCTTGTCATTCTTTTGCCTCTTTGACTGATTAACTTTCCCACTGACCTTTTGATTCTGGATAGCTTGTGGTTATGAATTAATCCAAGAATCTTTGTGGGGGCGCTGCAGGACATGAGATTAGTCTTAGTTGTTCAGAACCAATCATGTGCTGTGGGGTCTTGCAGGGAGTGGCTGGAATGGGGTGAAATCAATATGGTGCTTTTACCTTCAAAATCTCTTTCAGGTTCTTCATCACTCTTTCTTCCCTCATGCTCTTGACCCAGAGGGTCACATCCCTTTCTCTGGACATTTGTGAGGGGAGAGTGGAGGCAGCATCAGGAGGCATCAGGAGCGGCAGCAGCTCTTTGGCTGAGCATCTGTATAAGGTGCTGCCCTACTGCAGCTACTTGCTCTTTTTCCCTGGTCTTCTAGGAGGCCCTCTGTGTTCCTTCCAGAGATTTCAAGCTCATGTTCAAGGGTCCAGCAACCTGTGTCCCAGGCACTCTCTTTGGGCTCTGAGCTGGAGGGGTCTGCAAATTCTGGGACTGGAGTGCCTGAAGGGGGTCACGAGAGGGGTGCTGAGTGCAGGAGCAGGACTGACTGACTGCCGGCAACTGCAGTGCATCCATGTCATGTGGTGCACAGCCGGGCTCTTCAAACTCACCTACTACTCCCACTGGGTCCTGGATGATGCCCTCCTCAGGGCAGCAGGCTTTGGATCCCCTGGAGAGGAGGGATACATCCCTGATGCGGACATCTGGACACTGGAAACAACTCACAGGATAGCCCTGTTCACCAGGAAGTGGAACCAAAGCACAGCTCAGTGGCTCAGGCGCCTCATATTCCAGCGCAGTAGGGCCTGGCCGCTGTTGCGGACATTTGCCTTCTCTGCCTGGTGGCACGGACTCCATCCAGGGCAGGTATTTGGTTTCCTCTGCTGGGCTCTGATGGTGGAAGCTGACTATCTGATTCACACCTTTGCCAATTTGTCGATCAGATCCTGGCCGATGCGGCTGCTCTATAGAGCTCTCACATGGGCCCACACCCAGCTCATCATTGCCTATATAATGCTGGCCGTGGAGGTCAGGAGCCTCTCCTCTCTCTGGCTGCTGTGTAACTCTTACAACAGTGCCTTTCCTGTGGTGTACTGTATTTTGCTTTTTCTATTAATGAAGAGAAAGCATAAATTTAACTGACATTTTTCCCCAGCCTTCATCTACATCCATGAAACAGTTTATAAAGTGCCAGGTGGTACACTGGTGATGCATACGTTCCAACTTTTCCATAATAAAAAGGTATTTTTTTAAATATTGGATGTACATGATGTCTTGTCATAGAATTTTGTGCATCCACCTTAACCACCTATTACAGTGGCACTGAGGATCCAAAGAAGAAAAAGACATGGTTTCCTCCCTTAGGGTTTACACCTTAGGTGTTGAAGCAAAGTTGAAATGAAATGACACATAAAAACATAAGGTACTATGACCCAAATGGCAAATGGTACATCTGCGGACATGTAAAAATGGAGTGTGCATTTGGTCCAGCTGATCCTGGAATGTGAGTTTAACAAGACAAAGAAAACAGTGAAACAAAACTTAAATCATATTATCATACTGGTTTGCTCCAGGAACTAGAGACTCATATGCTATCCACAGTAACATGAAGAATTTGGCCTGAGAACAGAAAAGCGGGGATTGTCTTGGCAATGTTAATAAACTGAAAATGCAGCTAGGATTTGATAACTGCTATTGTTAAATACAAACCTGAAAACCTGATTCATGAAATAATTCACATGAAGAGACCAATAGTTAAGTCAACACTGTTGAAGTAAAACATTGAGGGTCTGGTTTCTTTTTCTTGGCATATCCAAAATAACTCCCTCTGCTTCTTCCTCTGAGGGGATATAAAGTGTAACGAGAGAAAGATGGCAGGACCTCCAAGTGACAGTGAAGCAATGTCATTAACGAGCACTTTCCCAGTGTCTCTGCAGGCCACCTGGGCTCTTACATAATTACTATTTTTCTTTACATCAGTTTTAACTCAGCTTACTTTCAAAAATGTGCCCTCTTTCTAAGCAATGACATTGATGAAAACTGTGGTTTTTTTAGTATATTTATCATATTTCCTAGTACTCACTAAAAAAATACATATGTGTTTAAATGAATAACGTTTATTTGTGCACTGCTAAAAATCATCCACTTACCCCAGGATTACACCCATCCCACAACAGGAGGCACTGCAGTTTCTAAGCCTCCAGAACCAATCATTTTCATCTTTCTCCAAATATAAAACGGCAAGTAAGCTTTTAATCTTTAAAACCTGACAAAGATAATACTAAGTTAGAAGGTATGGATCACTGAGAAAGTCCTGTCAGTATCACTCACTAGCATTCAGGCAAACAAGCAGCCCAGTCTTAGTGGACAGAACATCACAAGAGCAGCGAGGGCCTGGAAGAGGGGGCGTGAATCTGTGGCGGCCTTAACCAGCACTTCTCTGCTTTCCCTCACTGCACTCGACCGTCCCCCCGAGGAGATGGCATTGACAAATGGGGTTCCCAAGGCTGGAGACAGTCAAGGGGGGAAACAGTGAATAGCCACGGGGGCACTAAAGGACTCTTAAAAGCATACAAACCAATCACCGAAATGATGACCCTCAGAATCCACCCCAGAGACCAAGTGGGATGGTGGTGGTAGGGGTGCTGTAAATGGGGAGACAAGCTAAATAATCACTGCAGCATTAGTATAAAAGAAAAAGTTCCAACATTAGGAGAATGGTTAAGCAAATTATGAGGGATTGTTACTTGTAATAGTGTGCTTTAAAACTACTACTTTTTGATAATGAGAAAACTGTTATAATAGTAATAAAAAAGGAAAGAACAGAAAAGTTTAATGCAAGAATAAAATGAGCGAATATTCTTGAAAATAGGCAATTGCTTATTTAACAGTGTGGATGGTAATTTATATCAAGCACATTAGCACATAACTGAATCTAATAATGAAAATCACAAGTTGGACACCAACCACTTTCCCCAGTGGAACTTGTGGGGGAGGGTGGGAGAGTACATCGCGTGGTGCAGACACACTCACTACCAACCCGTCCTGACTCCACCTCGAGAACTGGTAAAGAGCAAAGAGGAACCAGACCTTTTGTGAAGGTAGAAATGGAGCAGAGTTGATAAGGATAAGTAGAAGGAAAGGACTATAAATGAGAAAGGGGAGAATGAAGAGAAAGGAGCCAAGTAGCAAGAAACACTAGACTCAAAGGATTTAAATCAGAAGTTAAAGTATAGGACATGAGGTTTGGGGGCAGAAGGACAAGAGTGTGAAGAAAAGAAGGGTGTGGTCTGTCTTGTAGGAGTTTACTTCCCCACCTCTTCAGGTCAGGCGTGGGTGTGCGGCTTGCTCTGGTCACCGAAATGGGGGCAGAGGTGGTGTGTACCCCCAGGCGGAAGTTCTAAGAGCCAATGTGTGGTCTCCATGCTGTCTCCAAGAGCTTGTCGTGTTCCCAGTGGAGGGTGCTGTCGGCGCAGGCACGGCCCGTCTGCCACACACACGTGGTGAGTGAGAAATGAAACTTTGTTGTTCTATGTCCGGAGATTTGGGCATCCTTTGCTACTGCAGCACACCTGAGCCTATCCTGACTGGTACCAGAAGCTCTTCTAACACATTCTGATGGTTACTTGTAATCAGCCTAGACAGAGATCAAAATCCATTTTCTTTGTGAAGCATTCTGTCTTCCCTTCTGCTGTCGCACAGTTCTACTCACCCAGCCACTCTGTAGACAGAGCACAGTGGAGATCTCTGAGATGCTTTTGTTTGTTCTCACTATACCTTCCACTTCATGTACTTTGTAGGCCTGGTGCGTGGTTCCAGCAGTCTGTAGAATGAATAAATGCCCATGCGGACTCTGCAGTGTTCCAGGTGGGAATCCAAAACATCACGTTAACACGTGATACTGGGTACAGCTTCCCCCTTTCTTCTTGGCCAAGCAGATAGCAGGCCCCAGGTTCACTCTCTCAGGACACGATGCCACTGGCAAGAGAACACCTTGCAAAAAAAGGTTTATCCTTTTTCTCTGTATCTTTTAATCAAATCCACTGTGATAGGAGGAAGAGGATCTGTGGAAAAGCAAAATGGTGTTTTCTCCAAGATTTGATCCAGGGGAATCCTAATTGGGTTTGGGTGCAAAATATGTAAAATATCCTGAAACTTCATCAGCCTGACTCTGTACACTTGGTCCTTTGGGCCAGTAAATGGTGCAGTAATATTAAAACTGTGAACATGGAGCTTCTTTTGCTCTGTTGACTTTCCTCAGGAGTAGATTCTGCGCATTTGCTTCCGTCCATTGGTCACTCCTGAGCTGCCTGGGAGCCCACCTTTGCTGCTAAGACCCTTAGGCAGTTTGTGGCTCTGGCTTGTTGTGCAGCCTGCCCAGAGAGAGAGGCAGTTTTCTGTGAGTTGGGGATGAAGATGTGTCACTGAACAGAATACCTGGCTGACTGGTCTTCTGGACCATTCTTGGTACTAAAGGAAACATGTTCTCCCCACCCCAAACTGGAGACTGTGAGATGGCCATGGGGGTGCGTGTGGAGATACTAAGATCTGCGGGCTTGGTTGCTCCCACTCACCGCAGCACCCCAAGGAAACCCTCTGCAAATCGCCTCTCCATATGCTGCCCCAAACAGCGCCTCCTGCCCCGGGATCCCACCACGGGCAGGGCTAATGTGCCTCCCTGGCACATTGCCCACCCTTCATGGCAGTATCGTCCCATGTGCTCACCACAGGCATTTCATTCAGGCTGCAGTTTTTCTCTTCAATTTGATCCCGTATGTTTTTGTTTTCTCAGAGATTTCTTAAGTTTCAGATTCACCAAGCCTTTCCCTTTCTGTTAAGTTTGGCAATATATTTCTTTATTCTAAATACAAAAAACAAAAACCAGCGTGTTCTCAGGTCTGGTGCAGGAGGGTGGGGAAGGTCATGTCCACTGGAGGTCCGTCACCGCACCCTGGCTGTGTTTGTCAGATAATCAACAGGCTCCCTTGATTAACTGAGGGTGCTGCAAGGAAAGACGGGACCAGGTGGTTTCAGCATTTTCAAGACACAAGGCTGACAGAGTGACCAGTGTCTGCAATGTATTCAGTGAAGACTGGATTGTTGAAACTTATTTTTTAAGAAGAGTTTGTCTACTGGTATAAGAGGGAACTGCTTAGCAGTACGGAGAACAGTAAGAAACAGAGTGAGCCCTTCTGAGGGTCACATTTAAACCTCACAACCACCTCATGAAGTAGGAATTATCATCATCCTCATTTTACAGATGTGGAATTGAGACCCCGAGGGGTTAAATAACTTGCCTAAGGCCACATATTTCAAACAGGAAGAGCTAGAAGTCCAGGCAGTCTGACTCGAGAGCCCATACTGTAAGCACTATGCCAGGACGTATGCTACAATGTCAACCTTCAAGGAATTTATAAAGTAGTTACAAGGTTAAAATGTCAGCAGGACTGTTTTGCTTGGTAAAGGTTTGAAATAAGGCAAATGATGGTATTTCTAGCAACAAGTGGGTAGGATTAACCAATAGTTTGGACCTGTGGTCCAGTCCTTAGGTTTTTTTTTTCAAATTCTGCCTATTTCTTCTTCACCCCTCACATGCCCGACAGACAATCAAAAACTTGGTAGTCATCCCTGACTCCTTCCCCGACAATTCATTAGCAAATCTGCTTGGCCATGCCTCTAATACACCCTAAATCTCACCACCTCTCACCCATTGTATTTGGGACCCAGAGATCAAGGTGTCAGCATCCAGAAGCTCTCACTGCCACCCCCAACTGCCTCCTGTACCCCAGAATGCTGAGTAAACTACAGCAGAATGCTGCTCCGAGGTCCGCTTGCACCCCCATGAGCCTGCCTGCCTGCAGAAGGGCTGCCAGAGCAGCGCAGGCAGGGACTCCCCTCCCCACTCAGCTCTGCTTCCCACATCTTTCCCCTGCAAACCCCTTTCAGCACACACAGGGATCAACTTCCTTTGATATTCTTGTGTCTTTGTCTACCTCACTAGATTGCTAGCTCAGAGAGGGACCGTGGTGTTCCCATTTTTTTCTATTCCTCAATAGTACCTAGACTGCTGTCATGAAGTATATAACTGCCACTGGGAATAAGGAACTTTTCTAGATACAAAGCTTGAACCAAACAGTTTCAGTGTAAGGGTCTCAGTGACATAGCTGAGGTGAAGTTCAGCCCATTTCTGCCTTATTAATTAGACACTTCTCAGTGTTTAGAAGGTTTTTAAAAACATATATATTATTTGTGTATATATGGAAAACTGTTTAAAGCAATGTACTGTGAAAATAAGTACTAGGCCATTATGCTTATAAATGACAAATATCATTTCTAGGACAGAGTATTGCTCAAAACCATCTTTTCTGTAATCCTTAGGAGATGAATCCCCTCTTCTCAACTGTTATGCTCATAACGAGGTGTTAGAGCTGATTCCCCACCTATTATTTTGGAAGTTGATGATTTAGACCATGACAAAAATAAATGAAAGTCCAACCATCTTAGTTTAATCCTACAGAGCAGTTCAGTCATGAGCAACTTTAGAAACAATCCTCAAATGTCCTATATAAGTATACCTAGTTTTCAGGAAAACTTCTGTCCTTATTTTTGGGAAGTTCATAAATCTATACAAGTTTCTTGACTTTTATGTCATAGCTATATTTACATATTACAAAATAAACTGATTGGCCAAAAAAGAAAAATACCTCTGAAAGTAAATGCCAGACACACTGTAAAACAGGGCAACTAAATGATTAAATAGTAATGCTCTTACAAACAGATATGGAAACACTCAAGTTTATTCCATCATATTTTATAGGACCAGCCATTCTTCTGGCTCCTGAAAAGATTCCTGAGTTTTTCTGTTTCTCCCATTAGCACTGCCTCTAAATACAAACACGAAAACAGAATTACAACTGAAAAAGGAACATTTTATGACCATAATTTCTCACTTGTGAAAATATTTTTTTTTTATTTTGACTGTTTTATTCCCCTCCACTGGAATTGATAAGTGTAACAATTAATACCCGAGCTGTTGTGACTACAGTGTGTGGGCCTAAACCCGGGGATGGATGTGGGTGATGTTCAAGAGACTGGAGGCAAAGTCCGTAGTACAAAGTTCCCTGTAAAAATAAACTGTAAAACTGTCTTCACCTCTGGACTTTCTGCAATGAGAAACAAACAGTGAAGAGAGATTTCAGACCTCGGAAATCAGAGAAAGGTCTATGAGTATCTGAAGCTCAGAGTAACTCTTAAATTCAAGAGTAGAAAACGTGGCTCTAGGGCTTCAGCTGCTGCTCAGCAACACCTCCCTGTCTGGGCTGTCTCTCTCCCTCCGTTATCTGGTACCCAGTGAAGGGTTAGAGTTCTTGAAGCTTTTTAAAGGCTTTTCAGCAAAAGGAATACCCATCATAAAGCATTTCATTTGTGTAAGACGTGGGAGACACCCTAAGTAAGGCCACTGAGGTATTGTGTACAGGAGTGATAAATAATTGTTTCAGTTAGCTTTGTTATCTCCTTTTTTCCCAGGACAACTTTCCATTCTTCCTATTATAGATTAGAAAATTAGAAACAAAAGAAGTTAAGGGGTGCTAGGAACAAACATCCCGTTGTAAGAAAAGCCAGCAGAAACACAATTACAGAACAATACGGGTCTGGGACCATTTAAAATATGGGGAAAATAATGCATGATAAACCTAAATTCCCATGAAAAAATAAAAATATTTTATTATATTCTAAGAAAGTACAAAAATGTATGATCTATTTAATACTTTTGCCAAAATAAATATAACAAATGCTAATTCTTTTTAAATTAGGTTTCAGTTATCTGGAATATTTATTTTAAAGGACATATTCTCTTCCTGGGAATGCCAGAAAATTAGGAGGCCTGTCCTAAAATAAGACTTTCCTAATCTTTACTGAGGAAGGACAATACAAGGTTTTCGAATTTCCCACCAATTTTATGTATCATAAAGCATCCTGAGATCTAAAATGTATTACTGAACAGTCATGTTGCATAGCTGCTTATTAAATCTGATACACTGATATAAGTTACCTAAACTTATGAAACTAGTCACATTCAATAGAAATGCTTACTTTAGAAATCTGCATTATTTTGACAATGGCCCCAAAATCGTATTAGAGCAAACATTAAGAACCTCTGATCTAAACTTTTTAAGTATATGAGATTATAATCAGGACAATTTGGGACAAGATTCATGCTTGATAGAAGAGATCAGTACTTTTCTCTGTTCACATTGTACCACACAGATTAATTTTTTACCTTTAACTGTTTGAAATGTTTGCAAAAGGAAAAATGCTCTAATAATTAATGGCAATAAACAGAGATGACAAAACATGCTGTCCTATAAAATTCTGAAAACTTAGGTACAAATACGATCTTGACTTAGTAGACCATCGGTAGTCTTTCTATAACAACAAAACATTCTGTGGCCATTTTTTTAAAAGGTTAGGTAAAAATTCTACTTCCCCTGATTACCAATCCTTTTACTATTGCTCCAAATCATAGGGCTGCATTGTAGTATTTATTACTGTGGTTTTAATTTTATATTGGAAGTGAAACTTCTGTAAACCTACAAAACAGCTCATGTCCTACTTGCCCTACATGACATTATTAAATGGATAATACACTTCAGTGGCTGCAGTGTGCAGTATGTTCTCATTTCAAAAACACCCACAAAAATTAACATAGATATTTAAAATCTTTATTGTTTCATCATCAAAAGTTTGCTTTCCATAGAGGAATGGCAATGCAGTATCAGTGCACATTCTATAGAAAATTCATACCCTAGGTAACTAACCTAGAAATTGGAGACAGCACTATGTCAAGCTAGTGTGCAAGGTCAAGGACACAATGCTGCCAATGTGATTAATATACAGAAAGAATGTGCAGCTGTTAGAAAAAGAGTCTATGGCCAAGTGAATGAACAGTAGCAGTGCACCGCACTGACATTCTGGAACTGAAAAGGAGGAAGGACCAGAGAAGGCACTTCCCCACCCCACTGCCCAAAATAGAGTAGGCCATAGGCACGGAGTTCCCTTCTATATCACCAGCCACCTCCCGTGTACCTGTCCCTTTCTCATGTCTACAGCATTGTAACCTGCAAGCCATTTTCAGCCTAATGTGTACATGGGACAGCCACACACAGGTATTTCATTCTGCTTCCCATCTCACAGCTAAAAGTAACAACTTGGTTCGGCAGTAAAACTTGGGGCCTTTCGGCATCTTTAGTAAAAAGCTGAACAAACCCAGAATCTGTTCTTATTTTCTTAAGAAATAAGCTTTATAAAACAACAACAGAAAGCTGTCATGATTACTCAGTTTTGTCTGAAGGCA